CACCGCCATGCCCCTCAGGAAGGGGAACCACCGGGCATGCGGACTGTCCGGAGCCACCAGGATCCCCGACCTCCTCTCCTGTTCGATCCTCCGCAGTAGGACCGGCAGGAGACGCACCGGTGGGAAAGCGTACAGCAGGCCGCCTGGCCAGGGATAATGAGCCAGAGCGTCCACGCCTAAGGGCGGCTCGTCCGCGGCCCTTAAGGCGAACCAGGACGGGCACTGTGCGTTCTCTGCACTGGCGAAAAGGTCGACCACTGGACGGCCGAACCTCCGCCAGATCTCCGCAGCTACCTGCGGGGCCAGGCCCCACTCGTCCTGGAGCGGGCCCCCCCTGGACATCCTGTCGGCCCCCACGTTCCGGACCCCCGGGACGTGGCGCGCCCTGAGAAACAGGAGGTGAACCGCCGCCCACAGCAGCGTCACCGTCGCCATGCGATGGAGAGCGGGGGACCTGGTGCCCCCCTGCCTGTTCAGATATGAGACCACTGTGGTGTTGTCTGAGCGCACCATCACGTGTCTCCCCTGCAGCTGAGGAGCAAAGTGCAGCAGTACTCTGTGCACTGCCTCCATCTCCAGCAGGTTGATGTGACGGGTTGAGTCCGACCAGCAGCCTCCTACAGAGCTCTGGCCAAGGACCCCGCCCCATCCTTCGAGCGACGCGTCCGTGAACACCTCCACGTGAGACACGGCGCAGGTCAGAGTCACTCCGTCCCGCAATAGACCCGGAGTGAGCCAGAACCTGATGTCCGATGCTGCCACTTGGGGAAGCCAGATCAGCCTCCCCTCGTCTCGGGAGGGGTGAAGCCTGAGGCGCGAGAACCACCTCTGAAAATTCCTCATGTGGAGCAGGCCTAGCCGCACCACAGCATGAGCCGCCGCCATCATTCCCAGCAGGGACCTGAGGCGCCGAGCGGGGACTCTGGGGCTCGCCAGAACCTCCCGGGCCAGACGGGTAATATTGATCCGTCTGTCCACGGACAATGCAGCACGGAATGTCACAGAGTCCAACTGCAGACCGAGATAAATCATGCGTTGAGCTGGCTGCAGCTTGCTCTTTTCCCTGTTCACCACAAAGCCCAGACGCTGTATGTGGGACAGGACCCAGTGCGTGTGGCTCAGGGCCACTTCCCTGGATGATGCCAGAATTAACCAGTCGTCTATATAGGTTAAAATTCTTACCCCTGCGCGTCTGAGCGGCTCCAGTGCTGCCTCCACGCATTTGGAAAAAGTCCGAGGCGCGAGTGCATAACCGAAGGGAAGACGGCAGTACTCGTAATTCCTCTCTCCCACCGCGAAGCGCAGAAACCTCCTGTGTTCTGGCACTATGGGCACGTGGAAGTACGCATCTGTCAGGTCTATGGAAGTCATCCAGTCTCCTTCCCTGACACACTCGAGGAGCTGCCTTGTGGACAGCATCCGAAACTGCCGTTTGGAAATGCACTCGTTTAACACGCGCAGATCCAGAATGGGACGCACCCCGCCTGACTTCTTTGGCACTAAGAAGTAAGGGGAGTACAGCCCCCTGGTGGCGTCCTGCGGGTCTACCTCCACTGCTGCGCCTCGACTCAGCAGAGAGGAGACCTCCGCTTGCAGTGCCTCTATCGATCCCCGTACCTGAGAGCGTACTGCCCGTACGCCTCGGAATGGTGGTGGCTTTCGGAAGAATTGCAGTGCGTAACCCCTGCGCAATGTTTTCTCCAGCCATATATCTGTCAACAAACCCTGCTCCCTCAGACGTCACGGCCCCGCCCTCTCCTGGTGTTCCTAGCAGGGAGGGGGGGGTGGCCGAAAGGGCCGTGGGGCCGGGCGAACGCTCCCTGCCTCTGTCTCGGCTCCGCGCTGGTGGGCGGGCCTCGCGCCTCGGCGCTAGGTGCTGGGCTAGGCTAGCCGAGTCCTTGGCTGCGGTCTCCAGTCTAGCCACCAGGGTCTGCATGTCCGGACCGAAAAGAGACGTCTGGGAGATAGGCAGGTCCAGCAGCTGCCTCTTCTCCGCCTCTCTGATGTTCGCAAGCCCAAGCCAGAGGTGCCTGGCCCCAACTTGAGCTGCTGCCATGGTGCGGCCGCCATCGACAGCTAGCGCCTGGCACATGCGCAGGATTGCCGCTGAAGTGGTCCTCGCCTGAGATAAGGTGTCTCCACTGAGCGCCTGGCCAGAAGAGAGCGACCTATCCAGGGCCCCCGTGATGAAAGCCATGTTGTTCGCCACAGCGACGACCTGTGCCGCATTGGCGTAACATCTGTCGTGCATCGCCAAAGACGTCCTGTCCCGCTCGGAGGGAAGGAGAGGTCTGGTGCCGGGCCACACGGATGCGGAGGGGTGCAGGGCCATGCGGACCGAATCCTCGATGTCCGGGACCCCGCCGGTCCAGGACCAGTCCTGCACGTTGCAGTACATACCGTAGCCCAAAGCGGGCCTCTTGGCCGCTAGGGGCTTTGGCCACTCACGTGTCGCGTAATGGACGATCGGGTCCATCCGCGGGCACAACGTGGGCTGTGTCCTCCTCCTCCCTAGAGTGGTAGCGTAACCCGAGGTGAAGTCCTCCACCCTCTGGGTCGGTTGCGGTGGCAGGGGGGCAACCATGATGGCCGCCGCAGTGGAGTAGAGCCCAGGCATGTGGTCCAGTGGGAAGCGGTCCGGCTCCGGGTTCGACACCACCTCGTCCAGCGTGAGGAGAGAGCCGACCTCCGAGATCTCTCCGTCCTCACAGTCACCCCACTCCGCGGGCACGGGTGGAAGTTCGAGAGGGGCCCAGTCAGTCTCAGACTCCTCGTCCTGAGAGGAGTCCGGACGGGGCGCTGTAGCGGCGTGGTACGCACGCCTGCGTTCGCTCTCCTCCCTGGGGAGAGCGAGACACGAGGTGCAGGTGGCGCTCAACGACGCATGGCCCGGGCCCAGGTACATGAAGCAGCTGGAGTGCTGGTCCGTGCGCTGGAGCCTGACTCGACACGTCGAGCAACGACGACGTCCCAGAGGGTGGAGGGCAAAGGGGAACTCGGACGAGCATCAGAAGACATATTTTTTCTCTGGTAATGAAACTGTGTAGATCTCAATCGGCGCCAGAGTGAAAGAGGGGGTGCGGCTGTGAGCAGGGGCATTTATAGAGGATGGTGGCTGGTGATTGGAGCAAATTATTTTGATCTCTCTGGCGTGTGACCTGGGGGTCACGAGTGATATCCCACTAGCGAAGTCCTAAGGGACGTAGCACCATGACGTAGAACGCAAAATCTAGTTAGGCATGGTGGATGAGTGGACAGCGCTCTCGCCTCGCGTTTGAGAGAACTGGGTACGAATCCCTGTCGGACCTCAAAAGTTTATGTTGACATCACAGTCTTGAAGAATAATTTTGAGAAATTGAAGTGCAGAAAATGTCAAAGGTTTTTTCAAGTATACTTTAGTTGCCAGGGTTTACAGTGCACTTTGGACATGCTTATTGTTTTGAAACAAAAAAAATAAATAAAAAAACATCACTCAATGACATTTTGCTTAATGAATACATTCACAACTATCACTTTAATTTTCACATAAAATAAAATAACACAGACAATGCAGTTACGTAATATTGTGTGCAGACAAGTATGTAAAGCTCATTGAATCAGTGAGTTGGATGCAATGATTTATCAGATCCACCAGGTGTCAGTATAGAGCAGCACAAGCAACACTGTTGCGGCACAGTATCAACACAGTTCGTTGGATGTGCCGAAACGATACGTGAGGTTTCATTTACCCATCACTACAATACTGTACATCATTCTCTCTGGAACAGTCCAAAGGAAAATTATATCCACTTGTATTTCCCAAAGTAAAATCCATTCTGCAGAAATAATCCAAAAATGTGCATTTATCTTTAGCGAAAAAAACGAAAAAAAAGAGCACAGATGTTACTCTTTCACTTTTAACGGACTTTTAGCTTTGTTTTTCACCCAAACATCTGGTATCTACGTGTTCCTTAGCTCCTTATCTTTCAAATGAGACTACTCCCGAAAAGCTAGACCAATTTTTGGGTCTGCAAGAGCTCCCGTAAGTACAGCTAGTGCTGCTGTTTGCGCACGGGTCACTGATCTTTGTTGTGATCCCATTCCAACTTGTTTGCTTTTACTTCCGGGATTTACGATTGACATGTCCTTGTAGCCAATGAGGAAAGCTTTCGAACAAGGGGTGGGACAATGGTGTCCTGTCTTATGTTGGGCCTGTAGAATTGTGCGTAATGGAAGCCAAAAGACGCTCTCGAAGCTGCAATGAATTTACACTCATAAAAAAATAACTTTGACATTTAAAAAAGAAAAACACACATAGATTAGTAACTTATAAGTACCAATAATAAAAAATATTGTTTTTATGATGATTAAATGTAAGTAAAGATATTTGTGCACTACTTGATGAAAAGGAGAAACTGCATAAAAACTATAAAACTTAGAAGTCTGAAACTTTAGACAGTTGTTGTCAACAACACAATGAACAGAGGGTTTGAATATTGTGAACTTACAATGAAGTATGCCTTTTTTAGGGCCTTTAGAAATTGAAAATGTTAGGCGAGGCTAAAAAAATTGGGTTTTTTCCCTAACTTCAAAGGATGCAGAGGAAAATAGGAATGACAAACATTATTTTAGTGTTTTTTACATAAACTAGAAGGCTCTAGCTTTAAAATGATGCATCACACAAGCATGTGAGATGTAAGATGTGTTTTTAAATAAGCAAAGACATTTGGGTATGCCCAACTTTTGTGCACAAGCCAAAATGAGGCGGTTTTTAAGAGGTTAAATCATAGCCTATTGATTATTCTATAATCCTGGATGTGCAGATGTAGTTTGTGTTGTGCCTTTGTCCTTGTTCTGTACTATTTCATTGTGACATGTAAAGTTTGATTGTAATTGACTTTAGCTTTAATGTTTTTATTATGTCATGTACAGTTATCTATTTAAAAGCGCCTTAGAAAAAATATATAAGTTAAATAAATAAATATAATTAGATGCACTTTTACAGTTCTGCTCTGTCTATTATGTCATGTCCCAGCAGTAATGCCCTGAGTGGACAGCAGGTGTGCTCTTTCACACTGCAGCTACAGCCACTGCAGCAGTGACACCAACATACTGCTGCTGCTGCTGCCACTCTGCTCCAGGAGAGGAGGAGAGGAGAGGAGGAGAGGAGAGGGGGGAGAGTCCAGGCCCAAATAGAGTCATGGGGGCCGGGTCCTCGATGGTATAAGTGCGCTGGCCGTCTGGAGGTTCGGGTTTGGTGGTTGTGGTTTGAGACCACTGACCACTGCTGCTGTTGTGCTCAGGGGAGTCGCCTCTGCATCCTCTTCCTCCTGGTCTTCATCCCTTTTCTGGAGCTCCATCATGCCTCGTGTGGATGCGGATCTCAAGCTGGACTTCAAAGATGTTCTGTTCAGACCCAAGAGGAGCAGCTTGAAGAGTCGCTCAGAGGTCAGAGCTCGAACAATACTTTGATTCAACTAAAAAGTGCTGATTCACTACAGCAGCTCTCAGGACACTGGAGGCAGCCTGTCTCCTTTGATGAGGGACGTGACTGGAATAATAAACGTGTTGTAAGAGAGGAGGCAGGCCAGCAGAATGATTCAAGTATATGATGAGGCAACAAGCTCCTGTATTTATTCTGTAACTGCCTTCATAATACTCCTTCTGTTAGAAATGGATCATACTGTAATCTTAGGATGACCTTCCAAGAGCAGAGACGACCGAACAGCTGACCCAAAGGTTTTGATCCAAGTGTGTTTCTGTCACACACTGGCAGTTACATGTATCATATATGTTAATGTATGTGATGTCAAAAACCATTCCCAGCTTCCATTGTAATTTATTGCTCTAACATTTTGTAAACAAGCTGTTCCTGGATCAAGGACGACGGTGAAAGGCCAAGATGTCAGAGCTGAAGTGCAGTTGGAGGTAGTTCGGGGAGCAACATGAGACATGGAAGCGTTCTCAGAAACCTGTTTAAAAATAGAGCAGTTGTGTTAAAGTGGGCAGAACACATTCCAGCGACAACACACATATCTGCACAATGTGACCAATTTATACACATGGTCACGTAGAAACTGGGCTGTAACTGTACACCCGACACATGGCTCGGACTGGGTTTTGTAGCATTTGTTGTAGCAGATGTGGAGATGGAACGAAAATGTGAACCAATATGTGTTCCGATGAAATCAACTGGTGTTTTATGCTTTCATAACTTTGAACAGTGACAGCTGCTGTACTGCAACCATTCTGAGGGTCTGTCAACTGTTCATCTCTATGTCGGAAACACTTTAGTTTAGCCCTCACTGAACCTAGACCTAGCCCTAACCATAGACCTAGACCCAGACCTCGCCCTAACCTGAACCTTAACCGTAGCCCTAGCCCTAGCCCTAACCCTAGACTCAGACCTAGAGCTAACCCTAGCCCTAACAATAACCCTAACTCTTGACCTAACCCTAACCCTAACTCTAGACCTAGACCTTGCCCTAGCCCTAACCCTAACCCTAGACTCAGACCTTGAGCTAACCCTAACCCTAGCCCTAAAAATAACCCTAACTCTAGACCTAGACCTTGCCATGGCCCTAACCCTAACCCTAGCCGTAGTCCTAGCCCTAGCCCTAACCCTAACCCTAGACCTAACCTAAACCCTAGACCTAGAAATAATCCTAATCCTAGACCTGGCCATAGACTGGCATTAATCCTAACCCTATACTTAGCCATAGCCCTAGCCCTAGCCTTAGCCCTAACCCTAGCCCTCACAATAACCCTAACTCTAGACCTAGCCCTAACCCTAGACCCAGATTTAGATCTAGCACTAGCCCTAGCCCTAACCCTAACCCTAACTCTAGATCTAGACCTGGCCCTAGACCTGGCCATAATCCTATTACTAACCCTAGCTCTAACCCACATTGGAAAGTGTCAGTTGGTAGTTAGTCAGATGTTGAACAAGGCCATGTAGAATAAGGACTGAAGAAGTGCTTAATAAATTCCAATTAAGAGAAAATTAACCATAATTTATGCACAAATCAGCACTTAGTTTGTGAATAATTAGTGAGGGCTAAACTAAAGTGTGACCTTACTTTGACATAACTTACATTTTTAGTGGACGCGAACCTTCTGCCTTAAAGACCGTACCATGTAACTGTAACTTGATTGAGTAGCCTCTCCTTCTTGAAGTCTGTGGAACATCATCTCCATGGAAACAAGCAGGTGGCAGACTTTCAAAACAGTGAACACAACATGTTTTAAACTTAAGGTGGATCTGACAAGGACCTTCACATTCCGAAACTCCAAGCAGACGTACACTGGGATCCCCATCATCGCTGCCAACATGGACACGACCGGGACATTTGAGATGGCTCAGGTTCTCAGCAAAGTGAGTCAAAAATAACACAAAAATAAAAAAAAGCGTTGTTTTTTTAATTTTGATATACTAAATCATTCATTAGGATTAACTTTGATGGTTCTTTGGGTCTCCTCTGTCTTCAGCACACACTCTTCACCGCTATTCACAAACATTACTCTGTTGAAGACTGGAAAAACTTCGCCGATACACACCCAGAATGCATTGAGGTAAACGTTTTCATATTTGTCGTTAATTTGCCGGTATTATCATCTTTTCGAATCATTTACATAAAGTGTATTTTCTCAGCATGTAGCAGCCAGCTCTGGGAGTGGCAAGGCCGATCTGGAAAAGCTTTGTGCCATCCTCGAAGCCGTTCCCTCCATCAAGTACATCTGTCTGGACGTGGCAAACGGCTACTCCGAGTACTTTGTGGAGTTTGTGAGAACCGTCAGAGACAAGTTTCCTAAACACACCATTATGGTAGGAGAGCACGGTGTTATTCTGCAGATGTGAGGGTGGGAGTCGTGATGCTGGTATGTGCTCTCAGGCTGGGAACGTGGTGACTGGAGAAATGGTGGAGGAGCTGATTCTGACTGGGGCCGATATCATCAAAGTCGGGATTGGTCCAGGTCAGTATTCACTTTTTTAAGCTTACAAGGTATTTTCTCGATATTGTCCATGTAGATTTGATTGATCCATTCATTCAAGCAGAAATTTGACAACCATAAGTATTTTCAATGTCTACATTCTTTAGTTTACATGTTATTTTGTACATGTTGCCTTCTGTGCTTACAGTATATACCCACACAAGCAAATACAGTATGTAAACATGAATATACAATCAAGCAACAGTATTTGCCCTAGTTTCACCATGTGCTGTATATGTACATCATTAATATGTATTTACAAATGCATTTCTATTCATAAAATTTCAGCTCAAAATGGAGTTGGAAAGAAGTAAAAACTCTTGCTTTAGTGATATTCAAAAGTACTACGCTTATATGTTTTTCAATGTATGTTTTAGATCTTTTTATGGCATTGCAAGACTGTTCCTGACCACAGACTTGGACTTGTCTGTTACACAATATTTCAACAGCGGATGTTTCAAAATATGGCTTTATATTTTTAATTCCATGAAACCATGCAGGTGATTTCCATCTCCAGAAAGCTACCTACTGATTCTTCATATGGGGACAGACTTAAACAGATCCAAAGGGTGAATACTGCATAAAAATAGAAAATATCTCTTAACTCTTAATCATCCCAGCTGCAGGGCCAAGCACTGGACGTTCAATTCAAATCCATTTACTTTTGTATTTCTCTAAATCACAACAGTAGTTTACAAAGTTGATTCGCCAAAACAGATCAGAGAATTAAACAGTTGAAACACAGGAAATGCAATGATAAAAACATACAGAGCCGTTGGTCCATTAGAAGCAGGTGACTATTGTCCATAAATCTTGTTGAATGTTTAAAGTCCTGGATCATCATCTCTGTCCCTCGACCCTCCTGCTTCGGCAAAGAAAAAACTCAATGATGGAAAGGGGCCAGAGCCATATTGTAAAACAGATCACACAACGCTGTAACTTCTCCATTCAGCCATAAATGCCCCGTTTGTAAGTCCTGTAAATGTATTTTGTTGCAGGTTCTGTGTGCACAACAAGGATAAAGACTGGAGTAGGTTATCCTCAACTCAGCGCGGTGATCGAGTGTGCAGACTCAGCTCATGGTCTCAAAGGACACATCATTTCTGTAAGTTAAGATCAGATAAGTTAGAATAAGATAAACTTTATGATCGCACAATGCAGAAATGTACAAGGTTCTTTTTGTTGTTGTTAAAAAAATACATTTTACATTCCCAACAGAAAGAGTCTTATCTTATTAGAATCTTTTTTTTATTTTTTTTATCTCTTATATACTGAGAGCTGATTGGCTGAGTGAGGGCTGGCTCTGAAAATGTGAGAGAAGCCCAGAAGAATCATGTGAAAACTAGTAACACAATCAAACCGTTTTAAGAGCTTGGAACTAGTTACATGGACATTGTTTTTTGTAGTTTCAAAGTTAGGGACTGGATCTGAACGTCAACAACAGTTAATACCGCAGTGTGTCCACCAGAGAGAGCCATTGTATATTTCAGGCTTTTATACAGATGATAACAGGCTCCCTTCTCTGTTTTCTGATAAGGATGGAGGCTGCAGTTGTCCTGGAGATGTAGCTAAAGCATTTGGTAAATAATATTATTGCTTTGAACCGAATAAAATCCATGGATATTATGATTGTATGCCTTTGGTATTTCAGGGGCCGGGGCAGACTTTGTGATGATGGGGGGAATGCTGGCAGGACATGACCAGTGCACTGGAGAGGTCATCGAAAAAGATGGAAAGAAATTCAAAATGTTTTATGGCATGAGCTCCGACACAGCCATGAAGAAATATGTGGGAGGGGTCGCTGAATACAGGTGAGCAAAAGAAACAGAAAATACCATAGCTTTTTCATTGCGTTTTTGTATATTTATTGTCATTGAATATATCGTAAAGATAGGGATAATACTCACAAATTAGTTTTTGATTGAAATTTGTTGTGACAGACCTATATTCTTCCATAATAATCATTTTCACTCACTAGATTTTCAGCATTGACAAATTCAAAACTGGTTTATCCCATTATTTTGCCAACTTAATTATTGCATTGCTCCATGAATAAAACACGTAAGCATGTGTTTTATTCATGGCTCTACTCCCCTATTTGATTTGATTTGATTACTTTATTTATTCTCCACAAGCAGGACACTTTAGCCACCTGTTAATGTGGCGTCTGTGAGAGTGATTGATGTTGATTAGAATCCTTCCATCCGTCAGTCTTCCCCAGAGCAGCTGTGGATATGAAAGATAATGGTACTGGTGGTATATAGCATATTATTTGACACTCCAAAACACAACTACCTCATCATCGTCGCTTGTTCCTCTGACCACCAATTATTCACGTTTAGACCAGACTCGTTCTTGGCAAGGGTCGAAGTCACTCTGATGAAGATAAAAAGTCCTTTATTTTCGTGGGAGGTCCAAGGACACAACAGCACTTTGAAGCGACCCACTGTGGCACCTGAAAGTCTTGGCGGTTTCCCATCACTGCCCTGCTTAGCTTTTAGGAGCTCATTGTTTCTGCAGATACTTCCCTTGTTGGAGAAAAACAGAGATGCGCATTGTCTTCAGTCATTCAGGCCAATATAATTCACTCATTTTTACATGTTTATAATAACAATAATAATAATGCATGGGTTTTATAAAGCGCTTTTCAGGACACTCAAAGACGCTTCACATGTCATTATTCTTTCACTCCAAACACGGTGGTGATAAACTACCAATGTAGCCACAGCTGCCCTGGGGCACACTGAGAGAACTAGGATACAACAAAGTTTAGCATTATAGTTCAGAATGATCCAGTCATGGCTAAAGATTTCAATAGAATTTTATGTAAGCGTTTAATACATGCTTTTGTGTAATTTTAGTGTGTATGAGGCTTTTTTCACCATACACCTTCATGAAAAAAACTAAATTTATCTAAGTGAAACTCAGTTAATATGTATGTATATGTATAATGTATATAATAGGCCCAGTAAAGACTATATTAAACAGGTGGCAAATTCATTCGCATTCAGGGCAAAACATATTAACCTTATGTCAAGCAAAGGGCACACATTTGACAAACATGTCTTCTCCTCTGGTTCTGCGCAGGGCGTCAGAAGGCAGGACGGTGCAGGTTCCGTACAGAGGCGACGTGGAGAACACCATCCGTGACGTGATGGGAGGTCTGCGCTCCACCTGCACGTACGTGGGAGCCGCTAAACTCAAGGAACTGAGCCGGAGGACCACTTTCATCCGCGTCACACAGCAGTCCAGCCAAATGTTCACCTAGAGGGCCGCCCTGCATGCCTTAAACACCATCGTTGTGAATGTGAGTGAAGGTGGCGGGATTATAGGCCCAAACTGTTAAACTCAGGAAATCACAGTCAGAGGTTGCCTGTTATGTTTGTTGTCTGCTCTCCCATTCACTTTTCATTTGATTTTAAAAGATGATATAGGTCTACTGAACCTTCAGATCTGTGTGTTACAAACTAAGCCATCGACATGAACATAATCAAGAACTAACGCCTGAAGTGTATCGAGGTGAAAGTGACGGTGCTGTTATCTGTTCAAGTGCTGGAAATATTCAATGAAATATGCAAGATCCAGTGGACTCAGGTCTCACTGGAAAAAAATGTTGCAATAAAAGCATGCAGGATCTGCTGCTAATGTCACATGTGCTGTCGGATCTGCTGTGTCTTGTTTGACTAAAAACAACTAACAACAAACATATAATTTGAAACAGGCCAGAGCCAATGTTATTATGTGGGTCATTCCCGTTTGAAAGAATAAAAAAATTCATTCAAATTACATGTGATCAATTGTTTTGTTAGGCATTAGGTTCGCAAAAACTCAGTGCAGGTAAAAGTACAAGCCAAAGGAAAGACGTTTGATATGCCTGTTGTATGTGATAGGCCCAGTAATTACTATATTAAAACAGGCGGCAAATAAATAAGCATTCAGGGCAAATGATGTTAACCATGTGTCAAGCCAAGGGCACACAATTCATAATGGATATTAGTAATGAGTAATCTTTCAGTAAGGGGCTATATGCGCTTGAGCTATTAGGCTATCTGTGGATTCAATGGCTGGTGCTATGTGTACGGAGTGGCATCTCTGGCCTCCCCCCGAACCAGAAATGGATAAAGGGGAAGAAAATGGATGGATGGATGGTGTTTTGAATGGGAGAATCGCATCAAAATTTTAAGCAACGTATGTAACAAATGACAACACCAACAGCCGTTTACTCCAGATATGTCAAGGTTTCATTTTGTTTTCAAAGAGGTGCATTTGTACAGATGTCAAATACATACACCAACAGGGATTCTCCGATGCCCGGGAGCAAAGGGTTGGTGAGACACAGGGACTTGGTGAGTACAATATAGTACAAACACATTGGCTGTGGGAGGCAGCTGTGAGCGCCCCCTGCTGGCCACGCTGTCTCTGCTCTTGTGTCGCTCAGTCAGTCCAGTGTTGGGCAGGTCAGCAGAGGCACATGTCCTTTTAGAGCCTTCAGGAGCTGAGTGTTCGCAACATGGAAGCTGTCCACATGAGCGCAAAGTGAATCTGCGTCCGGTCTGCGGCAGAGGGCAGAGTCTAAGGTCACCGTGGCAGCGTTTTCGCCACGCAGAACCGCCAGCCCAAAGTTAAGTTCACTAAAGAGCGATCCAAGCCATCTCCAACATAATACAGACAGTATCATAATAATAATTTATAGTTATTAACAATATTGTCTTTCGTTAATATCAAATTATATGTAAGAAATGTACATATCTTATAACCCATATCAAACAGCCCACCATGTAAATTGATTGGGGTGACACTAAACAGTTAAGTGAGCCTCTACATAGTTCTTCTTTCTGCCTGAGTTGGTTATCCAGCGCTATGGACATTTAACAAGAAAAACAAAGATACAAAGGAATCCTGATCAAATTCTGTTCACTTTTAAAACAACAAAAGTGCCAAAAGAACACATCCTTTTTTTTTGCAAAAAGAAAAGTACAAACATTAAGAGCACACATGCTTTTTGCGGATCAAAAAGTCACAAGCTCACTCACCACATTCATTTATTTGTCAAGTTTGTGCAAGAAGCCAATTTTTTTCTATAAAAGAACATTAGCAGTGTTTCCTACAGTGAGGAGCTTGTCTGTTTCTCAACTCGACATTCGTCATAGTTTTCAGTCCCCTGACATTAGAATGAGTGCTACAAGGAGACTAAAAACCAGATAGGAAGCTTCTGCACCAATAAGTAATGCAAACAAAGAGAGGTTTGTGTGTGCACTTGTATTGTACTGTAAAAGCCAAACTGCCAATTCACTCCAAATTTCAAATGTGAACAAGATTGTACAGAGCGGCACAGTCTGATTTCGTGCTGTAGGTGGAGAACATATCTCACAAACCTGACTAAAGAATAGGGATGAATTCCGTGAGAAATCCTAAGAAAAAAAGGAAACAAAAGAACCAAGGAACCACCCAACACCTCGGCCCGTTGGACCCAAGAACGCGCCAAGTGAGATGGAGCACAGACAGAGACACACGCGGTAACAGGGCAGGTGTTGTGCAAAACGGTACAACTAACTGAACCACCACTCTCAAATATCACCCGCTTTTCCATTCTCTGTCTGTTTTTGAATGAATGTTACCCCTAGGCAGGGTATCAGTCAGACACCAAAGCCCGTCCTAGGATTTTTTAGAAAGTGCTGAAATTATCAAGTCTTTTACTACTACTTACATGTGCATGTTGGTTTATTGTTTTTTTTGTCTTTTCACATATTTTTACTCTTTTTTATCAAAAGTGGTCCCCACAAGCAATGAGGTTATTTTTTTTCTGTGTTCCTTAACCCGCCAACCTCTTTAGGCCGACGGTTTTGAGTGCACAGATGAGTTATAGAAGAAAACTATATAACATACTGTAATGGATCACGACCATACACACAGACACAAGGGGAAAGGGGCGGGGCTAACTCAGACAGATATGACGACTCCGGACACGCCCACCTCAGGGGTTAGACACTGGAGTCTGCTACATAAACTTGGCACGGCGAGAGGAGGGGGAACAAAAATGATAATATTGCACATTGTCTCAAACTTTTTGGGCAAAAAAGGGTAAGAAAGTAAGTAAAAAATAAATCAACTAAAAGCTGTATACCCATAGACAGTTAAAACAGACAACTTGGAGGCTGATTTTAAATTTTAAACACATTTTCTATTTGTGAAGGCCTTAAAAGTGGGCTCGCATTGATTTGAACTATCGCTTTTCTCCGATCACAACGCAGCGCTCCATCTGCTGGCATTTGTTGAGGTGCCATGCCCTCTGTTTTAACTGTCTTTACCTTTCCCTTCCTCCAGCTGATTGCTTAGTAGTGAGGTGGACAGTACAGTCAGTCAGGTAGCTAGCGGTTGTCTTTTGAGGGTTTCATTGATTGCTTGGCCTTTAGCAGGAGAAGCTGTTTTCTCGAGGCTGGTTATACAGGCGGGTACCTGAAGAACAGAACGTTACGATAGACAGGCACACTTCAGACACATGAGGTTCAGTGGGTGATTGTAGTACTGCATATATTTATATAAATGAGACTCCCTGAAATACTTCTACTACTACTGCAGTTCCCCAATGATTTATGATGCAGACTCATATATATATTGTGTATTTCATTTCTGTGAGGAGTTTTTGGTTATCCTATAATGAAAGTCATTGTTCAATGGTTATTGCAGATAACTTGGTGGAATGTGCCTAATATTAAAATTATGAAAATATTGCTTTTTAAAGTAACCTTACTGACAGATTTGGCTAGTTCTATTTTGAATTCAATGATAAAATGGTTGGAAAAATTGGTTTCTAAATGGGGGTTTTGATAGTGCGTTTGGGAAACATAAATGTGGACAACCGAGCAATACACACGCATACACTACTTTTCTTAATGCGTAACTAGACAAGGAAGAAGATACAAAAATGTGGTGACACAAAACCCTGTTGCAATACAAAAAATGAAGCAAGACTATAACACCTATGGGGTGAAAAACTTCCCATTTCTGGGAGCAAACCTCCAACATGAAGAAAACCACTCGTGGCTCTATTTCTCTTGTCTTAACCTTCATCCAACAACCTGTTGATAATCACATGAACCCAGAACACTTGGCACTGGACCACACACTCACTACATCACTGACGTCCATTGGGAACCAACAACGACAACTTCAACCCAATAATTATGCATGAGCCTTTGAATCCATGTTTGTACACGTATGAATGCGTTTTATTACATGTTTTAGAATCTTGCTTGGAGAAGAATATATTGTCAAATACATGAAATCAATATGGCTTTAAAATGCATTGCGTTGAGAGGAAACCATGGTTCTTTTTGCATAACTACTTGCTTTGTTTCTAGCTAAGGTCAATATTCACTATTTCCTATGACTTGAAGGCAGTATTAGACAAAACTTTTCCAACCCCAACTGGATTCCGGGGAAACACCGTAGGTTACATCCTCTCGCACACTTGCTTTTCGATCAAGACAAAACCCTGACCTTGTGCAAAACCATTTACAAGCACATCTGATGAGGTAACTGCTACATTATAGCAAAGCAGAGTTTTAGTTGGCCAAAAGCACAGGTGACCCCTGTCCCAAACTGGAGCCTGATTTTAAAGTCAGATTATTTTGAACAATCTTGTTGTTTTCTCCTTACACACACACAAAATCATCTTTCTTTGTCCAACATGTTACTGGTCTAAGGCTCCATTCAAGACAGGGCCATTAAAAAAATAAAAGTTACAACTGAACTCCATCCTCCCGACAATGTGCAAATTGCATGAGTCTCTTAAGAAAAAGATTCTACATAGAAACACTGGACATTTAGAATTAAATGTTTATAATCTTTTCAAAGTACATACTCCCAGCCACACATACAGACGCACTGCAGAGAGGACATCTTTTTTAGCACTTCCTGTTAGCATTGTCAGGCCGCTAGTGTCGTACATGTTATTATCGAATATTGAACTGAACAGACACCAACAGGCACATCGACATCATCAAGACGCCCTTCGTTTCAAATGGCCTAAAGCATATTCTTCCACAGGGCATCGTTGTAGGCTAGCCTCCACCAAACTCTTAAATCACATTCCAACATGAGTTTCTTCTATTCAAACATTCTTAAAGCCATCGTCACTTTGTCAATAACAGTCGACTAAAGGGGATTTTTCTCTCTTTCCAAATCCCTTTCTTTGTGATCCCTTGGCACTTCTAGTCACGCATTTTCCCACATTCACCAAAAATCAGCCTTTATATTTCCAAAGACTTTCCAAAGTGCTATTTCTTCTTTCCACCCTTAACTCGCAATAAAGGAAAAAATAATCTAAAAACGTACAGTACTGCGTAAATAAAGACATCAATAAGTTGTGGACTGCGCAGGGATGGTTTTAGGCAAGTAGTTTCTCTGTCATCATTTCCCTTGCAGCCATTTTGATAAAGATAATAACATTGTAGTAACATTGGTTATGATGACAATGTTGCATGCCATCCCAGTGTGGTTTGGGTATTCAGTTTTTGATAACTTCTAGATTCATTCCAGAACTATCACAACCCCTGAATTTATAGAACTGACAATCATTTCAAAAACTATGGGAAAAGTTTTAGTGAAAAAATAAAAGGGAAAAATTTCCAGTGTTTTGGGTGGCACACTGGTGCATCCTGATGGCGCAAGTCCAGCTGAATACACAAGGTCAGGAGAGGCCTCTGACATACATATTCCGATTCAATATGCAAATCTCTGCACACTACGAGTTATTTGCATGGGAAAATCAAACTGGAAATGTCGTGATGCCGCTCCGAGTGAAAAACAACCAGGATGTATTATACTTTAACTGGGGACTTTTGCTCCAGTGCACCACACCCACCAATAAACCAATACATATAAAGTATTCCACCTACTTCCTTGTCTATAAACCGTCTATGAACAAATTAACTCACTTACTTGATGCCAATTTAGTACAGTATTCAAGACAGAAAATGTAAAAAGAAAAACTAAACATTAAGGGGACATTGTTTTCTGCTGACAGTCCATGTTGATCCGCGCTCCTCACTTGCCGATGTTGGACCTCCCTTCGATGCTGACTTTGACCTCGTGAGGAATGAAGTTGGGTTTGGGCAGAGTAGCAGGCGGCTCCTCCTCCGTTCGCTCCACTTTACGGCCCTCCGGAGCGGACCACCTCCTCTTCCGGCCGCTGGATTTCCTCCTGGAACTATCGTCGCTTTGGCCTTGTCTGTCTCCAAGCGGGACCTCTCCGTTCTCAACAGTACCGCTGCTCCCTCTCTGGTTGATTCCGTTCTCCTTCTGGCCTGAGCGGTGGTTTTGGGGTTTGAGAGGCAGTGTGGCGAGCTCTCCGGGCTTCTTTAAAGAGCCGTTCCTCACGTTTTTCAAAGTGAGAGAGATACAGACGTCGCCGACAGACAGTTTAGTGCAAGGCAATTCCAGAAGTTGCGTTGTCCGATCGGGGCAACAAGAAGACCAGCCCTGGCCAAAGACGAAGAAGGGATACTCCACCAGGACTTCCACATTCACCTACAAGACAGGGAAATACTCCATTCATTATTCATTAACTCCATTTCAGTCAAACCAAAGTCATTTCCGAACCAACGATTGTCCGGAGTCTGCTTTGTCCAACCCCGTTTCTTCTGTAAAGCTGTATTTTCTAATCCTGTATCCCTTTAGCATAGAATTCTTTTAATGCTTTTACAGATTTTCTGGCTACAAATTTTAACAAATAGAGTAAAACCTATGATGAAGATTGTAGCATGAAGTGTGAGGGAAGATTGTCAAGACCTATTCAAATCAATACTGAACATTCTTTGAAAGCAAGTGCCAAACAATATTTTCCCTGCCCTGAGTTATCTTACATTTCATTTCTCTGTTTCTCCTCTGGGGGTGGACTCAAAGTTACCACCGCCTCTCAGAAAGAGAAACTGTTGAGCAACTGAGGGGTACAAAAGAGAAGCCCAAGTCTTTCAACGGTGGTCAGCTTCAGTGGGATATGCAATCAAAGAGGCGCTGGAGGCGGAGAGAGACCGAGATGTGCGGAGTGGGCGGAAAAGATGCAGCTAAGTCAGATAAAAAGCACAAACAAGACGTTAGCATGAAGCCTCCGAGACCACGCTCACGATGCATAAGTATATCGTTCTTGTGTTTGTTTGTCAAGAAGGCACTTTATGTTAGGTCTGTTGGACGTGTCTGGAAGTTGACTTATCACAGTGGAGTTAGTAGGAGTTTGACAAAGCCTAAAAAGATATATTTTCACTGGTATTTTTGCTCTATTGCAGACTCTGCAGATTCCTCATCTAGTTTATTAAAGATGATAAGTAATACATATATTACTTTAGTTTTTTCAGCATTAACCTGAAAACCATTGAATAAAGAAAATTGTCCTTTGTATCACTTGCTTGTAGCCAAAATCTCCAGCTGTCATGTACAGCGCACCGCAAGCTTCTGCATTATGACATAAATTTACCTATGACTTAATTTTTTTCTACTAACTGTGGATCCTTCCCAAGAGCCTTTGATAGATCACATGCTAAGTATTAGTATTCTGGTGTATTTTAGTTATAATATGGAAATTTATATGGCTTTATTTCTCATCTTCACCCTCTGTGGGTGGCTATCCCTCTCAAAACTCAGGTTCTCTTCCAGAAGCCAAGGATTCTGCGCAGATTGATGCAGATTGCTGGACCGAGTTCCATGTATCTTTTGTAACCGCTCCTGCTTGGGCGTCACTGTCCCGAGAGCTTATATCATTACAATGTTCACTGTCATCTTAAGCCCTGGAGCAGCTGCAGAATCAGTCTCTGATCTGGTCGGACCTGCGCAGGTGCAGCACAGATGGATTAAACAACAAAAATTATACATATGTTTTACTCCTGCTGACAAACTCCAATGACTGAACATGTCTTTGCTCTGACACGGCCCATACTTCACCCACGAGTAATCAAGAGAAAAAAAGAGAACTCATGTGAGAGTTTAAATGTTTCAGGTTTGTTAATGCAGGTTTTTTCTCCATTAATTAGAGAATTGATCTGAATGTGGCTTGTGAGCCTCGAGTTTGCATGTTGGGAATTTGGAGTGATATTGTTAACAACAGCAACACAACACTGAGCCTAATTTGGATCAAAATCCGTGTAAATATTCTGTACGTATTAAAAAGGATGTTTTTATCAAATCAACAGTGTCAGCCAAGACTGTGCAAGCAATAGTTTTCCAAAGAGAATAAAGATGACTGAAACAAGTGTATAAATGAGAAGTAAAAAAATACATAATATGTCTCCTTTAATGCAAAAGAAGCAGTACACTTCTCACCTGCGCTCGGTGCTCGCCCACAGCAAACTGCACCACTGCGAGGTTGGGAGAGGTTCGACTGCCCTCGATCCGCTCCACGGTGGAGGAGTCGATCTTGAGTTCACTGCTGATCTCTGCACTCTGGATGAAATCCTCGGTCTTCAGCTCCTCCACACGCTTCAGCTCCCCGTCGGCCAGTTGGATGATGGAGCCCTTGATGAAGTATGGAGGCAGCGCATGGGGTAATGGAGCGTTGGATGCAGAGGGAGAAGGAGGGGGCCCGGAGGAAGTGACCAGTCCTGGAGACGCAGGTATGATGGGGAGATGTAACTGTCCCTGAACCACAGCACCAGTCGCAGCCTGGTACAAACCCAGAGGGTCACTCTTGGCGGGGAAAGGTGCATGGGTGGATGAGGCGACCTGGGAAGTCTCCAGAGAAGTGACTGCCCCGCTCACAGGGATGATGACAGGCTGGGCACCAGGAATGAGCAAGTGTTGAGGGAGGCAGTGCTGAGTCCCTGCAAGGTACCCGATGATGGGCTGCTGGGAGAAGGGCAGGCCGAGGGACAGTGATTCTGTGGAGCTGTGTGTCGTCTGGATCACAGTCTGTGGGGGCTTAGGACTGCCCACAATAGGAGGGGGTGGGGCTGGAAACGTAAACGTAGACGTGTTGCTGCACGATGAGGGGGGCCTGACCGGTTTTCCCGATAGAATGCTACCTCTTTCCATTTGTGAAGATAAATACTTATCAGGGCTAGCTCTGGACAGAGAGTGGTCACCGTGGCTGTTGGGCATAAGTATGCTGGATATTCTGTGCCCTGAAGGATCATGGGTAGTAAAGTCTATAGATGAAACACGTTGATGGGATTCATACGAGTCACGCATCTTGTTCCCAGACTTTGACTCAAACCGCCGACCCCGTTCAAGCTCGCCATTATGCAGCTCTCGAGTTCTTGAACCCCCTTCGTCCTTTCGAGAGGGCCCTTCAGCATACTGCAACAAAACTTGAGACATGCTGTGCCCCATTGCATGCTGGGAGTGCAGTGAATGGGATGCATGGTGAGAAGCTCCTTGGTGGTGAGCAGAAGATGCCGTTCTGTGATGGAAGTGGTGTGGTGCAACAGAGTCTGTGGAGGGTGGGGGCATGGAGGTGCGTGCGTTGGAGCGCTCTTGTTTGGTGTGTGTTGAGTCTGTGTGAGTGAGGTGCGGTCTGTCGGAGTGGGCGAGTCTCTGCGGTGGGGGCGGAGGAGGGGGGAATATCTGGGGGGAAATGTAGCCAGGGTACGAGGTGGGGTACGGGGAGGTGATGAACTGCAGGTTTGGAGGCAGTTGTGTGTAATGGACCGTTCCTGCAGCGGTGCTTTGGGGAGATGTGTAGAGTGTGGGGTGTGACGAGACTGGCCTGACTGAGGACGAGGAGAGGAAGGTATCCTTGCCACGCTTCAGCCCTTCACCATTACCACTTAAAAGCCAGGGCAGGCTCTCTGAGCGGGGAGGATCACTAGGGGGCAGCATAGTGGGGGATGAGTGGCACTCTGATGGTAATGTGCAGGAAGGAATCTCCCGCTTCTTTGGGGGCAAACATTCATTACTTCGTTCCTGATTGGACTTCATGTTGATGGCAGCTCCACTGATTCAATTTCTTTCAACAGTCTTGTCTTAATCGAAGCTTGTCCCTTTGCTGGGTCTGTTACACCAACGAAAGCACAGGATGAACTTAGCGTGGTCGGTGTCAGAGGGAAAGGCTGGTGTGGGTTGGTTTTTGGGTGTTTCCTTAACGATTGTTGGGTGTATTCTCAGTGTTGTGGAGGGAGAGCATCACGACATCACACCTGCTGCTGTCGCCCTTAGCGACGGGCCGAGTGTGCCGCTCTTCATGTGGAATCATTTCCCTTCAACAGGAAGTCTGCCCACATGCGGAGAAATCCTGCAACACACAAACAAGAAAATGATCAATCAGTCAGTCAATATGTTACACTGAAATCGGCCATTTAAATGATGCAATGTATACTTTGTTATTTCATGATATAGTATGTGAAATAATCTCTTAAGTATGAAGTTAGCTAAATGTTTGTGCCAGAAGTTCCAGGTATTAGTGTAGATGGATCTGAAAACAACCCTAGGTCAGTTTAAGATGAGGGAACAATGTTGCTCAAAAAGTAGATTTTCATAATACGTCTCCTTTAAATCTCTTAATTATTTGTCTGAACTCAAAAACATATTCATTTGTTTAAAATTCTTATTTAAAGGAGACATATTTTGCTTGACTTAAAGTTCTCTATAGATCCATCCACGCTAATATCAAGAAATTCTGACATAAACGACATCACAATCAGGGCAGTTTTCTTTCATTCAATAAAACAAAAGCATTGCTCATACACTATATTAGTTTTGGTAATTTCTCAGGTGCAATGACATTCTTTACAATCCCAAAAAAAAAATTCCACTCTTTCCTCTGGTGCTATAATGAGGGGTCACAGAATGTATTTGTACCCTTCATACTTGTTTCACCCAATATTAGATAATCTTATGAGATCATATGTCGCATTGAAATGACAAAGTAAATAGTTTCATTCTCAGTTTGAAAAGCCAGAAATAAAGCATAACATTTCTTCTTTAAGACAAAAAAAGACTTTAATCCATAAATCAGAGGAAGGCAAAGATTGTCACATATGTCAACATTCATGAAACATTGTCAACATATGGAAACCTTTGGTATCCAATAGTCCAACACAGCCCTGTCCCGAGGTATGTAGTACAATATTTACATTGTTGAACCATCTGTTAAAGAGAATCCCTGCTGCAGAATATGGAGCGCTTGGAGAGAATCCCATAAATTATGTACAAGCACCAGCTCTGGCCGAACGCACCCCTCTGTGGTTTGGCTCTCATACACTTTCATTTGTGCTGACAGATTCTCTTTTCCCCAAGTTTACACACAAATACATCAAGCGGTACATCTATTTTTGAAGTTGAAGACTTCTTTGAAAGTGGGTCAAGCATTCTACAACAAATGTACGGCTTTTGTGCACAGTTAGCACATCTTTAAAAGGCAATGGGAGAGAACATTTTCTCTTACAATTAAACAAGACTTTGGGTGTCGTTCAGAAGAATCGGAAGAAGGTCAATGGTTTGGATCTGTGGCTGGCTCTTGCAAATGTATGTAGTTAGATATTTGCATTTTCTTTTAAATATGTTTATGTTTTATCCATCCATCCATTTTCTTCCGCTTTATCCGTTGTCGGGTCGCGGGGGCAGCAGTCTAAGCAGAGACGCCCAGACTTCCCTATCCACACACACTTCCTCCAGCTCGTCCGGGGGGACCCCAAGGCGTTCCCAGGCCAGCTGAGAGACATAGTCCCTCCAGCGTGTCCTGGGTCTTCCCCGGGGTCTCCTCCCGGTGGGACGTGCCCGGAACACCTCCCCAGGGAGGCGTCCAGGAGGCATCCGGAACAGATGCCCGAGCCACCTCAACTGGTTCCTCTCGACGTGGAGAAGCAGCGGCTCTACTCCGAGCTCCTCCCGTGTGACTGAGCTCCTCACCCTATCTCTAAGGGAGCGCCCAGCAACTTTGCGGAGGAAGCTCATTTCGACCGCTTGTATCCGCGATCTCGTTCTTTCGGTCATTACCCAAAGCTCATGACCATAGGTGAGGGAGGGAACGAAGATTGACCGGTAAATTGAGAGCTTTGCCTTTCGGCTCAGCTCCCTCTTTACCACAACTGTCCGATACAACGACCGCATCACTGCGCACGCTGCACCGATCCGCCTGTCAATCTCACGCTCCATTCTTCCCTCACTCGTGAACAAGACCCCGAGATACTTGAACTCCTCCACTTGAGGAAGGACCTCTCCACCCACCTGCAGAGGGCAAGGCACCTTTTTCCGGTCGAGCACCATGGCCTCGGATTTGGAGGTGCTGATTCTCATCCCAGCCGCTTCATACTCGGCTGCAAACCGCCCCAGTGCATGTTGCAGGTCCTGGTTCGTTGGCGCCAACAGGACAACATCGTCCGCAAACAGCAGAGATGAAATCCTGTGGTCTCCGAACCAGACCCCCTCCGACCCCTGGCTGCGCCTAGATATTCTGTCCATAAATACAGTGAACAGAACCGGTGACAAAGGGCAGCCCTGTCGGAGGCCAACATTCACCGGGAACAGGTCTGACTTACTGCCGGCAATGCGAACACAGCTCTGGCTCCGGTCATACAGGGATTGGATGGCCCTCAGCAGAGGACCCCCGACCCCGTACTCCCGGAGAACCCCCCAAAGGACACCCCGGGGAACACAGTCGAACGCCTTCTCCAAATCCACAAAGCACATGTGGACAGGTTGGGCGAACTCCCATGAACCCTCGAGTATCCGATGGAGAGTATAGAGCTGGTCCAGTGTTCCGCGACCGGGACGAAAACCACACTGCTCCTCCTGGATCCGAGATTCGACCATCGGCCGTAGCCTCCTCTCCAGTACCCTGGAGTAGACCTTACCGGGGAGGCTGAGGAGTGTGATCCCACGATAATTGGAACACACCCTCCGGTTCCCCTTCTTGTAGAGAGGGACCACCACCCCGGTCTGCCACTCCATTGGCACTGCCCCCAATCGCCACGCGATGTTGCAGAGACGTGTCAGCCAAGACAGTCCTACAACATCCAGAGACTTTAGATAGTCAGGACGGATCTCATCCACACCCGGAGCCTTGCCACCATGGAGGCTACCAACCACCTTGGTGACCTCAGCCAGGGAGATGGATGTATCCGCCCCAACATCCTCAGCCTCTGCCTCCTGGACGGAGGACGTGACGGGGGGATTGAGGAGAACCTCAAAGTATTCCTTCCACCGCCCGACAATATCCCCAGTCGAGGTCAGCAGCTCTCCACCCGCACCGTACATGGTGTTGGCAAAGAACTGCTTCCCCCTCCTGAGGCGCCGGATGGTTTGCCAGAATCTCTTCGAGGCCGACCGATAGTCATGCTCCATGGACTCTCCGAACTCCTCCCAGTCCCGGGTTTTTGCCTCTGCAACAGCCCGGGCCGCGGCACGCTTGGCCTGCCGGTACTGGACAGCTGCCTCAGGAGTCCCCCGAACCATCATGGCTCGATAGGACTCCTTCTTCAGCCTGACAGCATCCCTTACTGCCGGTGTCCACCACCGGGTTCGGGGGTTGCCGCCGGGACCAGCACCAGAGACCTTGCGACCACAGCTACGAGCCACCGCATCGGCGATTGAGGCAGAGAACATGGTCCACTCGGACTCCATGTCCCCCTCCTCCGCCGGGACCTGGGAGAAACTCTCCCGGAGGTGCGAGTTGAAAGTCCGTCTGACAGGGGGCTCAGCGAGACGTTCCCAGCAGACCCTCACTATACGCTTGGGTCTGCCAGGTCTGGCCGGCTTCTTCCCCTGCCAGCGGATCCAACTCACGACCAGGTGATGATCGGTTGACAGCTCCGCCCCTCTCTTTACCCGAGTGTCCGAGACACGCGGTCGAAGGTCAGATGATACGACAACAAAGTCGATCATCGACCTCCGACCTAGGGTGTCCTGGTGCCACGTGCACTGGTGGACACCCTTGTGCTCGAACATGGTGTTCGTGATGGACAAACTGTGACTGGCACAGAAGTCCAACAACTGAACACCGCTCGGGTTCAAATCAGGGGGGCCGTTCTTTCCGATCACCCCTCTCCAAGTGTCACTGGCGACTCCCACATGGGCGTTGAAGTCCCCCAGGAGAATAACGGAGTCCCCGGGCGGTGCACCGTCCAGTACCCCTCCCAAGGACTCCAAGAAGGCCGGGTACTCTGCACTGCTGTTAGGCCCGTAGGCCGTCACAACAATGAGAGACTTGTCCCCCACCCGGAGGCGGAGGGACGCGACCCTCTCATTCACCGGGGAGAACTCCAACACATGGCGGCTGAGATGGGGGGCAATGAGAATGGCCACCCCAGCTCGCCGCCTCTCCCCGCGGGAAACTCCAGAAAAGTGGAGCGTCCAACCCCTCTCAAGGAGTTTGGTTCCAGAGCCCAAGCTGTGTGTGGAGGTGAGGCCGACTATCTCTAGTCGGTATCGCTCAACCTCCCCCACGAGCTCGGGCTCCTTCCCCCCCAGTGAGGTGACGTTCCACGTCCCAAGAGCCAGATGTTGTGTGTGCGGACTGGGTCGCCGAGGTCTCCGCCTTCGACTGCCGCCCAGTCCTCTCAGCACCGCGCCACCACGGACCCCTCTGCAGGTGGTGGGCCCACAGGAGGGACTGCCCACGTCATCCCTTCGGGCTGAGCCCGGCCGGGCCCCGTGGGCTAAGGCCCGGCCACCAGGCGCTCGCATACGAGCCCCGACCCCAGGCCTGGCTCCAGGGTGGGGCCCCGGCTGCGCCATGCCGGGCGACGTCACTGCTCTCGTTATAGTGCGATCCATGGTGGTTTTTGGACTGCGCTTCGTCTGACTCGTCACCTGAGACCTGTCTGCCATGGGAGGCCCTACCAGGGGCATGAAGCCCCAGACAGCATAGCTCCCAGGATCATCCGAGTACTCAAACTCCCCCACCACGTTAAGGTGGCAGTCCAGGGGGGACTGCCACCTTAACCTTAATGTTTTATGAAATATGTAAAGCCTCTTACACT